TTTTAGCACTATATATTACTCAATTTCTTAGTTTAAAAGCAAATATTAAAAAAATACAGATAAACATTGATTTTTGTGTGTCAAGTGGTGTGATGAATGCAACACTGGTGCAAATTAGATGTTTGTGAAGTCAAAATATGAGGTATATACTTTTGAATGAATTCAATTTGCTAAGATATTGCTCGTAATAAATCGAACACAGTGGCACCCCTCCCACCTCTTTCCATTTTTGGAAATGATCCCTTATATACACTTACTTCTATACATGACATAAATAACCAATCGGAAGCTCAGAATGTCCCCCTAGTGGCTTTCTCAACCATTTTAACAGATCTGGCACCATTTCTTTCTTTTGAACCAATATTTCAACAAAGTAGGGTGTGTTTATAGTATGCTCAAAATTTCATATTTTTTTAGACTAAAATACATCTTAGTTACTAAGCTTAATAAATTATAGTGGAATTCTATGGTATTAATGTAGCAATTTATGATTTTTTAGTATTCAAATGTATATATCAAACCTACAAAAAATTTTGTTTCATATCCTCCACATGCAAATTTTTTAAAGACTTAGCAACCTATGTCAAGCACCAACCGAGTACAAAGGTCGTAACTAGAAGAGATAATTGATTGCTTTACTTCTTTAGTTACTGTTCTATGTTTTAAGAAAAATAAGTTTAAGAACTTATTTCAAAATAGCAATAATCTATATACATATATAATGTATAATAATTGAAATGTGACTGTATTTTACAAAATACTAGTCTAATGAAACACAGCCAAGACAAGTTACTTTGTACAGAACAAAGGTCAATTTTATGATATTTGATACGGTAACATGAGTGCTCGTGAGCTTCACCATTGTAACTTCTGTATTGTGAGCCAGGCATGGCTGAAAGGTCAGTATAATAAAAATAATAAATACATATAAATGTATAATGTTATGAGATTTAAGCTATTTAGTCTAAACATTTATGTTTTTGTGTTATAATGTGTGTTCATTCTAGAATAAAAGAGGCATAATTTATATTTATTTCCTAATTTTTCATGGTAGTTGCAAGATCGGTCAAATCTACTGAACCCATGCAGAGATTAATTACTGAAAATAACAGATAAAATAAAGATTTTTCTTAAGAAACATTTGATAATTATCATGACAATATAAAGATTTAGCATGTGAAATTTCAAAATTTACTGATGCATAAAAGTATTTTAATCTTAAAACAGATATTACATTGCATGATAGATAGGCAACATGCAGAAAAAAAGGAATGAGAAAACATTGCTCTACAAACCTTAAGACTTAATGAAAAATTTGATATTTTGTGTATGAAAGCATTGTAATGTTTACTGATAATCTGCCAAATTTCATAAACATATGCTTACTAATTTAAAAATTATAGCATGAAAACTATAATAAGCACAAAATGGTTACGAGGTCGGTCCCAAAAATCGAGCCCATGCTGAGAGTTAAACTGCTAATTGTTTATGTTATACCAATTAGAATAGCAAAAAAATCTCAGCTAATATTCCATATTTTAATAGTATACAAGTTTTAAGTTCTTAAGTCTACAAAACAATATTTAAAAAAAATCCTGAATTTCTCCTAGTGTGACCCATTTTCTCTTAGCATGTCATCTTCCCTATTTTATCCAGCACACCTCGAAAAAATTCTAAATTAAAAATGAATTACTCTCTATCAAATCGTCGTTGCTCAGACAAACCATAATTTTTATAGTCTTCAATTTTGTTTGGTTACAGAGCTATCGAATAGAAAATCAGACCCCTCCTACCACACCTATCTGTCACATCCTCTCTTTCAGAATTCTTTACTAGTTCTCTCTTAAGTTTAATTATGTATTACCTATAACCAACAGAAAGTCAAGGTTTTTATCTATTAAATGACACATTGTATAACATTATGCTCTGAATGGTTAAATGTCAATTTCACTCAGAGTACCAACATCGTTTCTGTGAGAAAGTTAATGACTAGCTTGGATGAATTTATAACGACTATTGTCGCATAGTCAGAAAGCCAGAAAAGTTTTGAGAGGTAAGGGAATTTGTCTACTTTTGCATGCTATTAGTCAATATTCTTTGGTGCATTATTTAATTAAATAAAAATTAAGTGCATTACTATCATTAGTATAAAAAATTAGGGTTAACTCTCTTCGACAATCGAAGGCAAGAAAAAAGATAATTGGTTAAGTATTTTATTTATTCCTTTTCTTGTTTATTCTTTATGCCGAGTTACAAAAGTAATTAAAATGTAAAAATAGGGAATCTTTTAGGTTAATAAAGATTAGATTAGGTAAAATAAATAGTAATAATATTATAATAAAAATTTTCACAAGGCACATATGCGAACAGCTCGTAGTAGCTCATGGGTAATGTAATTTGTTAGCATAATGTGAGCTGCACGATCCCCGAGTGATTTACAACTTATAATGGCACAGATAGTAGTTAGGCACAGTTCCAAGAGCAATAAAACAATAAAATTGAATTATAAATAGATGTATACTGTTAAGAACATAGAACTACTTGGACAAACGAATGTAGTTCCATATTACAATTTAGTCATTCAAGAAAGAAAAAAGGTAATTTAGATTTGTTTCAATTTTTTTTGCCGATTACAAATTGACCAATTCCATTTTGAGATAGGGTTGAGAAAATAAACTGTAAAGCTTTACTGGGAAAAAAAAACGTTTGAAATGCATTTATAAGGTTTTAGGGATTTACACAAAGGAAATTTGAGATTTTTGAGATGAGTAAAAATATTTTTAATTTTAACACATTAATTACTTTGCACATGGATTATTTAAAACAAATACTCAATAATCTTTATTTTAACAATGGACAAATCTTTATTTTATTTTATTAAAAATACTTCACTAAAAAATAAGATTTTTTGTATGTGAAAGACTTGTAATATTAACTGAAAGACTACCAAATTTTGTGAAAATATACACACTATATTAAAAGTTAGAAGTATTAAATCTATAAAGACTTTAAATGAGTACAATGAGGTCAGACGATATTAAACTACACATGGTCGGTGTGGCTACTGTTGATGAGAGCAATTTATGCATGTTAGCCTCACACTTTTTTTCCCTTCATATGGCTTATCACCACAGTCTCGCTCATATTCCCAACATTGAACTTTTTTATGGCACACACATTGCAACTAGCTTTTTTGGTGATGTGCACCTGTAATGAACCATTCCCTGTACTTGTCCTTCAGAAGCTATGCATTGTTAAATATACATTTGCCTGGTATGTTTTACGCAAGTAAACATTCAAGTCAATACCACAGAATATGAAAATAATGACATAGAAAACAAATGAATTGCAATTACATAACTGCTTGAACAGTAATGTTCAGATGTCGACAAACTCATTCATCCTTGTACTGTTGAAGTAATTCAAGTTCCTATTAACACATGCACATGAGCAGCACATACTTGTCACTAAGGGAAAACATGAAGGGCTCACTTGGAAGATCAGATATTATACAATGTAATCATCAAATAAACAAATTATGAATAACACTGGTTTATAATACTGACAGAAGAAAATTTTAATTTTCCATGACTTTTCCAAAACTTTCCAGACCTTGTAAATTGCTCCCACAATTTTCCAATACTTTTCAAAACCTGTACAAACCCTGGATATCATAAAAAAAAAAGCTATTTTCATTGTACAGTAAAAATGTGTAGTTTTTCAAATTAAAAGTTTGGAGATGGCTTGACTTAGTAATAAAAAAACTTTACCTTGTACCTGAGGATGACATATTATCATCGAAATGTCATACATTTATAATAGTTTTTTTTCAATTATCCTGTCAAGCCATCTCCAAACTTTTATTTCTAAAAAGTGGGTTCCTTGTCGTCAAATTCAAAATATAAAATTTACTTATCCCTTAATAATCATAGCTCCAAACTTACCATTATAGAGTAGGTTTCATTAGGAATCAAATCTGCCACTTTTGCTACTGTTTCTACAGACTGCCTCAAAAAATGCTGCCATTCCGTTTCAGACTGTAAAATTAATCATCTTATGTATTTTTCTCATTGAAAATCTGGACCTCCCAGTACAAAAAAAGGTAACCCCAAAATAACCATGTCATTATCAATTAGAATTTTTTAAAAAAATTAACTAACTAACAGTACTGTATAAGCTACACCTTAAGAATACCAACTTCAATATAATGAAAGAAAGGTCAGATATCTGTTCTATATGTTGACTTTACATTTTTGGTCTGAAAGATATTTCAAATAGTAATAAATACAATCACAGCTCTAACAATGTCATGTGCTATCCCACTTTGTTAAAGCAAATTCTGAAATAAAATATGTATTGTTAAAGTCAGTATAAATACCTAGTATATATCTTACTATTTTTTTATTTATTAAAGTTATCACTGTACTCCTTTTAAAAATTATATACATCTGTTTCATAGAGAATTCCTACTAATCGTAGAGTGAAAGCAAGCATACGACTTCCTTAGTCCTAAATTACAAGCATTAGTTTTGTAAAATAAAAAGCAACTGCCAAAGTGATTACTTCAACAAAATAAATGAACATACATGGGAAACAACAAAGTTAATTTAGTACCTTTATGTTGAATACAAAGAAACAAACCATTATATAATTTGATTATTTGAAGATATGTAGTCAAAAAAAGGCTTCTAATATAATAACAGTTTAGAAATTTACAGTTCCCAATAATGTTAAAAAAGAGATCTAGGGGAAACAGATTGCAAGAAATAAAATATTTTCAGCTTTCATACAACAAATTTGGAATTTTATGGGGCAGAAGTTTAGGAATTGTTAACTATAAAGTGCAGTTAGTTGAATTTTTCAGGCTTCAACACCATTAAATTAAAAAATTCACTGTTTCCAAACTAGCTGAACTAGAAATAAGCAACAAAGTACAAAACTAGAGATTTGCAGCAAGGTTTTATATGTTGACAAATTTTATCTACACATATTGGAAACTTCAATATTCCTATCTCCCAAAGTAAAATTACAATTGGGGGGAAAGAATTGAAATTAGGGTCATCAATATAGGTTCTTTATTTTATCAAAAAATAATATTAATAAAATTCATACAAAACAAATTTTATATGTGAACATTTCAGTTACAATTATATTTTTAGGTGATTTGAAGGGGGTTGAAAAGATAACAGAATTTTTGAGAATTTAATGTCATATGACTCCGTGAAAAGAAGAACTAGGCTGGAAAGAGTAAAATAATTTAAAATTTACTAGCTACACTTGAAAGTTAGTTAGAAAAACAAATCAAAACATTACAATGTTTTAATTAGTTAATTTTTACATGTAGTTGCTAAGGGAAATAAAACTGTTTTTTGTTCAAATCTGGCTCTTGGTCAGATGACAAAGGCTTTCATCAAGCTGGTAGTTTCATAGGTCTATCTACAGCATATAACCTACTGATTTAAGCATTAACATGTACATAATGTACATTTTTATCTCAAATGATCCAAGAGAAGGTGACAAAAACCCTTCCAACACGACAAATTCTCAACATTATAAATATAATGAAAAATTTAAAACTTAAAACAAATATTATCTAAATCATGGTAAAAAAAGTATTGGTTCATCCCTTTCAAGCGAGCTCATTTTCATATTTTGTTTGTATTCAAGTTCAGTATAGCTCAAAGGCTCACCAATACTACCCTACCTGTTTAAAACAATCTTATAAAAAGCAAGAAAAAAGAAATTGTACAAAACTAGTAAAATATGACTGAGAAATACTGCAAATAAATTGTATATTTGAGAGAGTTACAAAATTCTGAACACGTATTAAGCAAGAGGAAGAGATATCTTTGGAATACAAATAAACATTCTCCTTTTACAGTACACTGATTTGATTATGTAAAAGCTTTCCAACTTGTGTCAAAATCTACTTTAAATAATTTCATTTAACTTAAAAATATAAAACAGTATTCAGGGATGACTACAATGGTTGACACCTTCAATGACAAAAGCCAATAATAGGTTTTTCAACCAGAAAAAATATTTATGGGCATGTTTTTATGAGAAGTTTGGGAAATTTCAAAAACAAACTTAGGGCAAAAACATTGGGCCCAACATGGTGACTGATACTCATATAATAGCAATAAAGGAATTTCTGAAATAAGGTGTTTGTTAGTAATAAGCAAGATCATTAAAACATACTAACTACACAAAGCACATAAATCTTTCTTAACTGATCATGCCAAATTAGTTACTATCTGTATGGAAATGTAGACACTGATGATGATGTCTTAATTTTACATCTGGTGATCTTCTTAAATATTATTACCAAAACATCAATATTATCTAAATGATTTCCTGTTCAATCCATACCCATGAAACCATTACTTACTTACACCAGATCAAAGTCAACATCTTCATCAGATCAACATCCCAAGATGACAGCAAACACAATAATATTTGCTTTGCAGCTTTTTAGAACTACTTGTAAAGTTTTTGAAATTTTTTGGAAGGAATCAAAATATTGGTGATTTTTTTAATATCATGGCTCCTGAAGGTGCTATAATTACTTCTGAAAGTGTAACATTCATATACTGCATAAAGTAGCAGTTAATGTCCAGTTAATGATACACATAAGATTTTCAATTAAAGGAATGGCTACAAATACTTACATCATCATCTAATGTTTCATCATCCAATTCTTCAAGGTTAGCCTGATTATAACGAAACTGTATTTTCTTTAGAACCTGAGTAACTAAAGACACTAATGCTTCTTTGTATCTATAATGAAAGATTAATAAGTTTATAACACAAACAAATCATCCAGTGCTTCTATTTAGCATTATAGAATGTTCCTTTTTATAATGAGAAAAAAAGCATAAAAATATTTGTAAACATCAAGTCACATGTTAAATCAAATTAAACTTTAATATCTTATCCAGTAGTGCATCGATAATTTCATTTTTACCTTTTTGTACAGAAACGACTTATCAAACTTACTGAAAATAATTTTCAAAGTATATCAAGTTATGTTTGTTTTTTTATAAGTACAACTTAGAAATAGTCATATGTCTGCAGGATAAACCATTAAATACCACAAATAGAAATGGGATGAATAATTAACAAAAGCTTTTTATTTGTTTAATGAATACCTCCCATACTATGAATGACAGGGACTAAGAGCAAGTGTATGTTACACTACCTTCTTTAGCACTGGTTGGTTTAATATACAACTGTACTGTTATCATAGTTATTACATATATGAATAACCTTTAATCCTAAATATGCAGAGTGGAGTTTTGTGGTCTCAGATTCAGTCCTGGCATACTAGCCACGAGGCCACATCTGACCAAAAATTGATGTCATCGTTGTAACTTAATCAAAATACATATATCTAAAGAAGCATGTTTACATTTTGTGTGTGATCCTGTGTGTGAACTCTTATCAGAATTCAGCTATCTAAGGACAGCCTTATATACTGTATATATGTGATCCCTAAAAAGAATGCAAGTGAATAGATTTTCAAACTCAGCTTCTATGGTGTATATATGTGTATATATGGGGTTGGACAAAATAATGGAAACACCT